CCGTGACCGTACATCGACCGTCGCCGGTATTTTTTTTTTCTTTTTTATTATTAAGTTGATTTTACTGGTAAATGTTTTTTTATTAAGTTTGTTTTGTTTGTATATGTTTTTTTATTAATTTTTTTGTTTGTTTGTATTTATATGTCTTTTTTTTATTAATTTTATTTTGTTTGTATGCCATTCTTTGTTTGTATATATATTTTTTGTCATGAATTATTTAATTTAGACATAGATGAATTAACATTGGATTCTGGTTAACTTTTTTAGATTTATGTTATATGTTATGAATATTGTTGTATGTTTTTTTTAAATAATTCATTAACATAGTTATAAATATTGTACAGTTATGTCATTAGATTGTGATGAAATTGTGATACTTGAACTTGGAAATGGTTCCGCTTCTGATATTGAGGTGGAAGTGGATGAATTGTTTAGAACTGAATTGTGTTTGAACATTCCAGTAAATTTGAATCCTCCACTCCCAAATGAGGAAGCACCTTCACCGATGTTTATTGAAATAGATTTTGAGATTGTAGACTCTATATGTGAAGAAGGTTCAAAGTTGGAAGAAGGGTCGATGTCTCTAAAAATGAATGTGGATAACATACGTATAGGGTCAAAATTTAGGACCAAAGAAAAACTACAACTTGCTGTCAAGAAATATTGTATTGTACAACATTATCAATTTGTTGTAATGGAATCGAATCAAGATATGTGGTATGTAAAATGCAAACAGTGGAATGATTGTTGCAAGTGGAGACTTCGCGCTCGTCGACATAAATCTCATGGGATGTTTGAAATTAGTGTACTTGAGGAGGTTCATTCGTACTTATATGCTGAGCTTACACAGGATCACTCACAATTGGACTCAAATTTTATGTGGAATGAAATTCAGAATATTGTACGACRTGATCCTAGTACGTATGTAACTTCATTACAAGAAGTCATAAAAAAAGATTTTGGATATTGTGTGAACTACAAACGTATGTGGCAAGCTAAACGAAAAACACTAATTAAAGTTTTTGGAGATTGGGAAAAATCATATGAAGAGCTCTCATACTGGTTGAATGCTTTAGTACATTACAATGCCGACACTCGAGTACTATGGGACTTGATACCTTCGAATAAACCTAGACATCTTATTTTTGGGCGAGTGTTTTGGTCATTTGGTCCTGCAATTGAAGGATTTAAACATTGTAGACCATTAATCCAGATTGATGGTACACATCTGTATGACAAGTATAAGGGAAAATTACTTATTGTCACCACAATTGATGCGAATGGACATATATTCCCTATTGCTTTTGCTATTGTGGAAGAGGAAAATACTTCTGGTTGGTCGTGGTTTTTGTGTGCCTTGCGAAATTTGGTTACCGAACAAGATGAAATTTGTCTAATTTCTGATCGACATGGAGGTATTTTGGGGGCTGTGAAAAATAAGGAAAATGGCTGGAATGAACCGAGAGCACATCATCGATTTTGTCTCCGTCATGTAGCTAGCAATTTCAACAAAAACTATAATTCGAAGCCCTTAAAAGAGTTGGTGTATCGTGGTGGGTCTCAACACCAAAAGCATAAATTTGAAAGATATATGAGGGAGTTACAACAATTGAATCCAGATTGTATTGATTTTTTCACTCATATAAACATTGAAAAATGGACACAAGCACATGATCAAGGGTTTCGATATGGATGGATGACAACAAATCTAGCAGAGTGTATTAATGGTGTTTTCAAGGGAGCTAGAATGTTGTCAATTACTGCATTGGTGAAGTTTACGTTTTTTAAGACTATTACTTATTTCCAGAAACGTAGAGATGATATCAATGAAGTAGTGGATCGGGGTGAAAAGTATACAAAATATGCTTTAAAAAAATTGAGGAGGTGGGAGAAAAGAGCGATGACACATTCAGTGACTTTTATTGATCGAGAGACACAAACTTTTCAAATCGAAACAGGAATAGATATGTTCTCTCCTTACAAAGGCCAACGTATTCAAGTAGTTTGCTGAAGGACAATACATGTACTTGTAACAAGTGGCAATCTTTCAAGATACTGTGTTCTCATGTAATTGCAGTCTGCAATCATGTTCACTTACCATATTTGCCTTATGTTGAGAAGTATTACGAATTGTCACGGTACCAACTTTGTTATGCATCTCGATTCTACCCTATAAAACATAAGGACTATTGGTCGGAAGTGAAGTTTGATGTTATTCATCCGAACCCAAATTTGTTGAGGGAATATGGATGCCAAAAAACTTCTCACATTCACAATGAGATGGATTGGCGGGAGACGGGTACGAAAGTTCATTATGGAATATGCAAAAAAGGACATAACAAACGTACATGTCCAACTCGCAACTCTGGCGCTTCATCTGCGAGACAAATGGGTGATTAAGGTGGATTTCTTTAATTATTTTTTTAACATACGGTTACAAATCTATTAATATTGAAATCAATTCTATATTTTCTATACACAGGTTGAAGCATATGCGGTGATATCGTTCTCAATTAGTGTGGGATTGTTGCTTTATAATACCCTATATTTTATCACTTACTCGGATTCGTGCTTTGTAATACACTATGCTTTATTGAATCATTTGTTGCTTTGTAATAGTTAGATATTTGGAATTGTAATACTATACATTATGTCGTGTTATTTGAAATGAACTTTGATTATAATTGTGCTATTTGTCTTATTATATTTCAGCATTAATTATGGATCCAAGACCTTTGGATTCGCATCAGCTATACTTACAACGATCACATCGTTCACAATTAGTGTGGAATAATGGATCTACCATAGTTTTGCAATGTCGAAGAAGAGAGGCTGTAGTATCTCATAACATTAGGCTAGCGCCATATCTACAACAGTCTAAATTTTGGGGCGTTTCACAGATAGGCTCTACTTAGTTAGATTGACATCTTATTACTGTACTGGTGGAGCAATGGAGGCAGGAAACTCATTCGTTTCACATGCCTGGTGGAAAGTGTACTATTACACTACAAGATATTGCTGTGCAGTTAGGGCTACCTATTGATGGAGAGCCCATTACAGGATCCTTACAATACGATTGAGCACAGTTATGTGAGGACCTACTRGGAGTATGACCTCCTCAAATTAAGGGATCTAGGTTGAGTATTCCTTGGCTAACGGCACAATTCATTGAATTACCACAAGATGTTGATGAGGTTACGATACAGAGATATGTATGAGCATATATTATGCAACTCATCGATGAATTTTTATTTCACAATAAATCTAACACATTAGTTCACCTCATGTTTCTTCCGCTACTGACTGATTTCGAGAAAGCTGGACGATATTCATGGGGTAGTGCATGTCTCGCATGGTTATATCGAGAACTCTGTCGGGCTAGTCGAGCTGATGTCCTAGATATAACAGGTCCGTTGATACTTTTACAARTGTGGGCATGAGATAGGTTTCCTACAATTGCTCCACAACACCATGTACTCACTTCTGAACAATATGCTGGACGTCCTCTCAGTGCACGGTACATTCATTTTCATTTATTTATATGTGATTTTTAAATTATATATAACTGAATAAGTTTTACATAATGTAGATGGAATGAAGTTTTGATAGCTTCTGAACAATCTACGAACATGTTGGTTCAATATCGAACGTGTTTTGATTGACTTAAGCCCAACAAGGTATATTACTTAGAAATAAATAATTATAATTAACTTAATAATAATATTAATTCTTATTTATTAATGATTTAAGATTATTTGGACACCGTACAATTACGACATTATGACTCTATTACCTGAATATTGTCATAATAGGCGAGATATTTGGTTGACTTTAAGCCCTCTTATATGTTTTCATATTATCGAGTGGCATCTACTAAATCGAGTGTTGCGACAATTTGAGTTTTTATAGAATAAACTGTCATATTGTAATACTAACACGAGTCTTCATCAGATCGAACTACGAGGAAAACATGATCACAATTGACAACGTCAACATGTAATATATATATATATATATATCACTATGGCGTCAGTGTCATGATCGGTGTGCATTTAGTGATGCGACAGATATGCCGGCCATGTCAGATGATTATCAACAGTGGTATGATTCGATTACAAGAAAGTACATCACATGTGAATCTGTTTATCACAGTTACATGGTTAGTATTATATTTCTTATATTTTTTAATTACAATATTTAAATCAAATTTAATATTAATAATTATTATATCAATTACAGGATTCTTTTGTTAGCAACGTACAAGATTTTGCAATACAAGAAAATCTACCTGTATTAAAATCAATGTGTGATACTTGCATTAGCATAACTGAATCAAATTTAGTTTATCCAAGAGTAGGTTCAAACTTCGAAATGAGGCTTCCTCGTCGTAGGCGCATTGAAGCACAGCCAAATGATGAAGTTCAAGAAAAAACACAAGAAGCTRAACAAGTTCAGAAACAAAATGAAGATGTTATAGGAGATGAACAGATTATGAATACTCTTATACAATTACATTTTCTAATGATTTCTACGCCAGGAGTTCATTTAAACACTGCATCTACTTCAGCTCATCAACATGACCCATCAGCTGTTCAGTAAGAACCTCGTCGTGGACGTCGCGTAAGAAGGCCACGACAATGTGGTACATGATTATCTATGTTTTATAATATGTTTGAAAGTTTAAGACAGCTTTTTGTATCGAATATGTTTTTCATGTGTAAAATTTGATATTTGACAAACATTTACTTTATAATATAAACACATGAAAACAACCTTATAATTCATTGATTTTAGTCTAATTTTAAAACTTTAAACTTTAATCACATTTTAATCAAAATTTGAAATATAATAACAAAAAATAAAATAATTAATTGCATTTTAATTAAAAATTTCGCAATATTAATAAAAGTAATTTTGCAATATTAATAAAACTATATAACAATAAAAAAAAATATGAAAACCCACTACGCAACGTCCACCAAAAAAAAAAGGAAAATATGTGGAAGTAGCGTGCGTTGCATGCGACTTCAATAGGAGAAAGTCGCGTACATCGCCTGAAACTTCCATTTGGAAGTCGCATACATCGCCTGCGACTTCCACGTCAACAACAACTCACCCGCCACATAGACAATACACGTTGTACGGAAATAGTGTCTATTGTATGCGAGTTTTGACCTCTTCTTTGACCTAACCTATTTTTGTCAATAGTTTCAAAAACCTAAGTTACTTTTGTATTTATTTATTTAATTTACATTTATTTAGTTATTATTTTTAAATTAACATTATTTTTGTAATTTCTTTTTAAAATGTCATTATTTTAAAACTTAACCCTGAAGATTTCTATTAAAAAAAATGGCAAATTGCACAAACCACTCCTAAAGTATGATGATTGCTGCAATTTCACCTTTAAACTTTTAATTGTAAAAATTGAATCCTTAAACTTTTATAAGTGGAAAATTTGTACTCATAAATTTTTTATTATAAAAATTAAACCCCTAAACATTTATGACGGAAAAAATTCACACCTAAATTTTACATTTTAAAAGTTAAATCCTAAAAAAGAAAATCTAATTTTATCGTCTCTCCCCCTTTTCTCCTCTCATGATCTCACTTTCTCTCTCTGTTACTCTTCCTCCTCTACCTTTGTGTTGGGAATGACAAAGGTAAACTAATTCATTTTGTCCCACATGAAAATATTATCACTTGGAAAGTTGGTTTATAAGTAAAAACCATGTAGTGTGCTTATAAACATGGTGAGAGGTAAGCCCAAGTCTTGATCCACAAGTGTTTTGTCACCGTCCGACTAGCTTTGGCGTGAAGCTATATTTTTTGGAATGTTTTCTTTTCCTAGGTTTTGATATTGTCAAAACTATGTGGCGCACATAGAGACGAACATGTGTTTATAAGCCCACTATAAATTTTTCAAATTTTTAGCACACGTGTTTTCTTTTCCTAATGACTATAAATTGTCACTCCCCTCCTCATTTTACACATCCCATCTTTTACTTCCTTCTCATCTCCTTTCCATCTTTTAGAAAGATTTTTTTAGCACGATTTGATTCCACTCCGTTCTAACRAGTGCACATTTGTATCGGAGATTGTGTTAACCTTGGGGAACATTCTGGCAATATAACGATTTAGCACCACGGTCGTACCGATTTTGCTTTCAGGGCAGTAGTTCCACCCACGACACAACAATTCTTTTCTTGGTTGTTCCAATTTTGACCTTATCCTTCTCTTCAATCTCAAAGCAAAACTACATGGCTACTATCCGATCCGGGAAGGCCCTAGCAGACTTGTCAAAATTGGAACCTCTCGACAGATCCAATTATCACCGCTGGTCCCAGAAGCTACTTATTTTCTTTGAGCAGTTGGAGATTAACTATATCCTCACTGCTGCTGCTCAGCCCCCCGTCGTCACCACTGCTGACCATTCTGCCGCCACTACTTCAGCTACGGCTGCTGATCCCGGAATGTACACTGTTGTTGTCGGTGGTACTGATAAATTTGAGAAAGACAACAAGATTGTTCGTGGGCATCTACCCAACCATATGAAGGATTCTCTCTTTGATCTGTTCGTAGTCCAAAAATCTGCAAATATTATTTGGGACAGTTTAGAATCTAGATATGGTGGGGATGATGCAGGCAGGAAAAATTATGTCATTGGTAAATTATTTCAATTCCAGATGACGGATGAAAAACTAATAATGGATCAAGTTCATGAGTACGAAAACCTGGTGGCAAATGTGCTAATAGAAGGCATGAAAATTTGTGAGATTTTTCAGGCGAATGCCCTGCTTGAGAAATTCCCTCCCTCATAGAGTGATCATTGAAATCACCTGAAACACAAGAAAAAAGAGTTGACCTTGCAGGAACTGATCAGTCACATGCGTACATAAGAAGCCAACAGACAAAATGATAAGCTCTCTTCCTAATCTTTAAATTCAGTTAAAGCTAACTTAGTTGAATCTTTTAGTGCTTTCAAAGACAGGTTCAAAAACAAAGGGAAAC